AAGCGCTATTGAGTTTTCACTTTTGTAAGTAGTCGTTAAGTTGGACTGTGTCGAGGTATTTGATCAATTAATAAAAGTAATAAGAGGAAACAAAGTTTGGAACTCATGCGTTCATATACTTCTACATCAAATAATAATGAATTAAAGTAGAATAATTTTTACCACATGTTGGCATTACACATAATGTACATTTGTCGCCAGTTGTATGGGTAAAAATCCGTTAAAGGTTTAATATCCCGCCCATTATCCATGATATGGTTGTGGCTTGGAGTTAAGACGTTCGCTCCTCAAGTGGCAATCGCGTTGTGATTTATAGCTATTTCCGTCTCATTGCGATTTCAGTGATTCGGAGAATTGCAAGCGCCGCTAATGAGCTGCCCGCCATTCACTCGGGATCTTTCTGCTCAAGTGTCCGGGATATGTGCCCATTAATTGATTGCACTTATGGCACTAAGAATTTGCATATAAAGCGCAAAATTCATTATTTCCGGGAACAGTGCATTTGTACGGCAATTAGTTCGCTTCAAAACATAATATGCCAACGATCCCTGCCACGCACGCAATTCCAGTTGCCCCACACTTGCTAGGGACGGGCATAAATCATCTCACGATGAGGCCGCAGCCGACGTCACAGCATGAAAAGTGGGTTCGAGATAAATACGAGTATATAAAAAAACAGAAAACACCGGGTATGACCAACAAATGCCATCTAATTGAGAGCCACCACAGCGAAATGAGCATGGGGAAATTGTGGATGGCGACCCACCCCTTCAAGGAAATGTCTGTATCATCTTGAGAACATTTTTAGTCGTCGATTCCCAAAAATAGTATGTCTCTTTTACCCTTCAACTGCGGGTATCGGGCCTTTGCCGCGAAAGATCCCAGTGCACGAAAGAAAGCAATTCAAATTCTGTTATGGGCTGTATGAGCTGTATTTTGGACTCACATACTATAATTCATTTTGCGATACTCTTTGATCAAATAGTTACAGAATGAGTCACTAAAACTTAAGCTATAATAAGAGTGATTATTAGATATCTCTACTCTTGGCAAAAAATCCCTAATGGACGAAAATATAGTATATAACTTCAACACGTCCAATTTTGTCATTGCAGTCAAGGTTTAAGACACCAATTTACAATTTTGATGTACTTTTCATTTTGATATAATGTATGCGATTTGCGCATAACCAAGTAATAAAGCAGGAAGTAAGGACGGCTTAATGATAACTCAATAAAGGAAGCTGAGTTCAATGTATTCTTATCTTAGAAGAGAACAAAAGAGTATTGATCCATCCGATCTTAGAGTACAATATTAGGGTTGCCAGATTTTACACATATTTAGTAGATTTTTTAAAGCCGAGTCGATATAGCCATGTTCGTCTGTCTGTCCGTCTGTCTGTCTGTATGAACGCAAGGATCTCAGAAAGTATAAGAGCTAGAATAACCAAACTTGGTATACAGATTCTCCTGAGCCCGAGAAAGGACGAGTTTGTTCATTTTTCCCGATGCACCCCCCACTCCCCCCCATTCACGATTTTCCATAACTCCCGTAATTCTTGGAATTTTGAACTAAAATATGGTAGACATTCAGTTAGTGATTATATAACCGTATACCAAGTTTCATTATGATCGGTTGATCAGAAAGAAAGTTATAGCCATATAACCAGGCGCAATGCACGTACAAGTATGTATGTACAAGCGCACAAACACGCATAAACACGATTCTGATGTAAATGTAAATGTATGTATGGAATATTTTATATTTAATTTAGTTAATTAATTAAATTAATTTAGTTAAATTAATTAATTAATTTATTTTTTTGTGAGGTGGTACAGGGTATTTAAGAGTTGAGCCTCCTCGACTTTAGCATTCCCTTCTTGTTTTCATATTTTACATATGTGCATAGAAAACATAAGAAGCGGTTATTATGTTAAAAACTTATCTGAAATAGTTCTGTATTAAAATTCTTCTACCGTACCGTTTGAAGGGTATTATAGCTTCGGCAAAATAGAAGATAACAAAATCATTTAGAAACTAAAAAACTGAAGAAGTAGCATCATAATTCTTGTGCCGCTTAATTTATGGGCATTTAATATGACATTTGTCTATTAAGGGATTCATAAACGTGTTCCGGAATTCGTTCCCCCACAATGTCAAAATATTCCCAATTTTAAGTTATTAGCAAATTCTCTCATAAATCCTAGCATTTTAGCTAGATAATTAACTGTATTCTGAGCGATGGTGCCACCTTCGCTTAAAGATGCCCCCAATAGGCGGCAGGGGCGCACTCTTGAGATTTGTGGGCAACCAAAATATGACAATGGAAAACATGTGTTTTTTATTTCGTACTACAACGCCGGCTGTTACTTGATGCGCTGCTTCAGAGTCGTCGAGGTAGCTCGGACACAGCCTGGAACGGGAGGACAAATATGAACACATGTTCTATCGAGTGCATTTGGGTGCCGCCCATTGTCGCGAGCCGGGAAATGGAAATTACATGTAGCAGCGCTGCTGCACATTTTTTGGGGACATCCTTGTTTTTTAGATAAACTACTCGCTCGACGAGGCTCTGCTAGACTCGCGAGTCGCGACTATGCCGCGTCCGACCTCCATTCATTTGCTGGTTGCCCAACGGCGTTCGGATCATGTTGGCCAGCCTACGCTCGCTCGTGCGGCTCCCGCCCACTTCTTAACATGCGCTACAAGTGCTAAAAATGCTGAAAACATATTTCACAATTAATTGTCGCCGCGACGCGACGCGACGCGACACTGCTGGCTGACTGTCTCAGTCACTCGACGTGGCCATAGTTGGTCGACGCCGTCGTCATCGGCATCATCGTCGTGGCAGTCATTATATTTTCTCGCATTTTTAAATGTTGTTCGACATGGCAAAAACAACGCGTTGCTGCTTAATTTGTCGTAATTAATGCCTATGAATATTTTGTACTTGTCTTTTATTTGTTAGAAGAAAATCAGACAAGCAATGCGCCAAGTAAATGGCTAGCTAATGTGTACAAGATCTACGCTATGTATAGCTGTATAATTATTGACAAGTGTAGGCAGAGCTAAGCCTAAGCCGTGGACAATATTTGAAACGAATAATGGAAGTGTTAATCATAGCTACGCGTTTTCTCAGATTTGACAGAACAATAAGTTGTTACAATGTTAGGGCATTACGATTTACAAAAAGTATTTATTTATTCATCAATAACCGTTTTGTCCCCCTTAAAGTAATCCGCCTCAGATATAATGCACTTATGACAGCGCTTCTTCCAATTCTCGAAGCACTTCTGAAATGCGATGCGGTATGGCCACCAGGTCTCTTCAGTTTTTCAAAAATCGAAGAACACACAAAAACGTGATTAACCTTTTCAGCTGTCAACAACTAACTATTAATCCAAATTGGCTGATAATATGATAAATATATGTGTACCAACATAAAATAACTGAAATAAATATCGATAATCAAATGTACACAGCCGGCGAAAATTCAGAATTCACCTTTTCTTATGAACAGACCTTGTATATATACGTATATGATATGAAAATCGAAGCTTAGTTGGAGCATTCATTTAGAACCATTTCTGCGCAAGTATTTTGTTGAGCATCTGTTGTATTCTCAACTAACATTGAACGTTCTTTCTGCATTAATTTATATATATAGTTGAAAGCTGAAAGCAGAGTTATCACATCTATGACAGTATTAAGAGCTTTAGATTTCTCGGTAAAACTTTTTCAAAACCTCTCAATTGATAAAGCAAGTTTAAGGTTGTGATTTTTTATCTCGTAGCAGAGGGTATGAGTGGAATACGTCATTTAAGAATAGTCGTGACTTGGACTTGGATTTTGCCGCACATGTTGACCATCCAAAAATCGACATTATCTAAGATGCAGTCAAACAGCGTGAATTTAACAAATCTCAAAATTAAATCTCTAGTCAACGATTTATCCCATTTTAAGCGAGCAATCGGGTCTGGTTCTTGCTTTGTTCCGCACAAGTCGACAGATAACCAAAAATTCGGGTAGACCAAAAAATTGAATTTTAGCCATCAGGCATACTCTGTATTCGGCTGATTTGGTATCGACTGATATGTCTTCGGAACAACAGGCTAAAACACTCGCTGGACATGCTTTTATTTATGGAGTCTGAACGGACTAATTGAATAATGAATTAATTTTATTTAATTTTCTTTGGATTGTTTTCGTTATTTTTTAAAAGTATTCTTTATTTTGGAACGCACCTTCAAAGCCGGAGGTCATAGTTCTTCTCTAATTGCTTAAGTTTCTTAAATATTTTTCAAATTTAAAATCAATATTAGATGCTTCAGAAATGTTTGCCAAACTAAGTAATGTTTTAAATATAAATTTAACTTTAAATTTGCTCTCAAAACAAAACACTCCTCTTTTAATGATTCGCTAAAATGATCAGTGAAGTTAGCTAAATCTATTTGGTTATGTCTGTTGGTTAACTTTCCCATTTCAACGATCATAAGAACAAGAGGCCCCAAAATTGGCATTAGAATTTATCTGACAAGCTGTCGTAAGCAGTTGAAGTTTTTGAATAAAGCGGGATGTTTGTAAAAAGATTATAATTTTTAAGAAAAAACTGCGAGTGAAATTCACTTTCACAAACAAAATTGATTTATTTGTTCTGAAGATATTCTGAGCAAACTTTAAATAATTATTTTTGTCAATAAGTAAACTTATTAAGTCAATGATTAAATTAGAATCGGCCAAATAAATAACATTACGAACTTAAGATTGAAACTGAATTACTTTATCTCCGTATTTATCTTAAGAGTTTGTTGTAGATGTTTTGAAAAGTATAGTAACTTTGGGATTTTCCAGGAGCTTTAGTCAGAAAATCGTGTTTATTATTTATTGAAGATGAATAAAAAATGACATTGGCATAACAAAACAAATAATTTTCAAAGTATTCTTCTGTGATTTGGAAATGATTTAATACTGGGCCTATTAGAGATTAAGAGGGGACTAACCTGTAGTTTAACCAGTTCTGGATGGTCCTTAGCCAACTTGGCCAACTCTTGGTAATTAGCTTTTGCCATTGAGACAATCCATTCCTTCGCTTTGGGATGCGCGAGCGTCACATCGGGTAGATCCTTTTCCTCAATTAATTGCTGGAAGGAGAGGCAAGGAGGGGGAACAAGAACAAGTAAGACATAAATTAATTATGCGTGTTTGTGCCGTTTCGTCTACAAATGGTAAAAAAACGGAAAACAAAAAACAAGAACAACACCAAATACGATGGCATGAGATGGGAGATGGGAATAAAACATAGAAAGCCCATTGAAAGTATTTACGCCAACGCCCGGCGTAGTCGTCGTTTGCTTAGAATGCGAGTCTCTGTCTCCGGCAGACATGTGTAAGTTGCTCAAATCTCCGCGACATCCGATGGGATGTGCGTGTGTGTGTGTGTGTGTGTGGGGAGCACACACATGGGCGTAAAAGCTAACATAATTATGCGCACGCATTCGACTACGACTACGACGACGACGACGACAACGACAACGCCATGTTTTTCCCATAATTATGAAGGTAATAATTTTTATTTATTAGGCGCGTGCTTTGGGCAGATTGTGCGTCGGGTTTTCTTTAGCGCAGCGTTAAGTGAAAGAGCTCCAACCCTCGGCGAAAGTTTGTTTGGTTTCGTTATTTTTTTCTCCGTGATTTACAGGCTTCGAACGGCACTGGGGGGGAAAACTTTATACGCACACACACATGCCCACTGATAATGAGCGTTCTAATGAGCAACGGGTGTGGGGTCTGGGGAGGGGGGCAACATCAGCGACATGTGCGCATCGTATTTACGAGCGGGAAAAACATTTTCGGCAACTAATTATCCATTCGCGTAATGTTCACGATGCTAACAAGGAACAGTCGAGTGGCAGCGTCTGCGTTCACCTGCCTGCCTGCCTGCCACACTTTTGGATGCTTTTGAAACAGTATTAGCTAGCTAATAAATAAGGACAACATGTGAGAGCGTCGTTTAGCCGCAGGATTGGTGGCGACGCGTGCCACGACCATCGTCCGATCCTTTCATAACTTCCCGAATTGACACGCCACTTGACTCTTTGAGTGCGCTCACGTTTTTCCAATTATGCCTCGCGTACACGGAACACTCTTATTCTGTGGCAATCAGGACACAGGTAGGACGACGGTGGCCATTTGCAAATGCCGACGAGTTGGACGACAACAGGCGTTACAGCAATAACAAAACAGAAGCAACAACAAGCGAAGAAGAACCATGGAACATGGAAAAGTAAGGCTCACGGCGAAGTGGCCATGTCAATGCTAAACAAAAGGACAGACCCGCCCACGAGCGCCAATCCTGCCAGCCACTCATACGCAAGCCAGTTGTTCCACCTTTCAGTTCTTTTTTTCGGCGATTCCCAACACTCAACACAGCAAACCTAAAACGCCCGTCTTTCGTCGGTTGCTCGTCGTTGGTAGCCCTTGTCTATTTGCTCATTTCTCCCCAATCGCCTGTTTGTTTGCTCGCTTTCTTAGTCTCGTGTATGCCCTGTGTTTGTCCCTTTGTGCCGGCTTTGCAATGCACTGTAAAAGATATTATATCACATCGGTCGGTAGCCGTTGTCCTCGGCCGACCCAGGGCTCAGGGCCTGTTGTCCTTCGCTCTCTTTGTGCTTGTGTGCACGGGTACGGGTACGAGTACGGGTATGGGTGAGCGGGTGCGTGTGTTTACGTTTGCCGCTCCAAAGTTACCTTTGGTCCTTTTTAAGCGTAACGAAGCCACAAAATGGTCGTGTTTGCCATTGCCGTGCGATGCCAACTTTTCCGTAGACCGTTGTTATCACTGTTGCCAATGTTTCCAATGTGTTGGGGTTGTGGGGGAGGCCAGGCGCGGTGCAGGCGGTGGCAGCGATGGGGGTGGTGGATGGTGGATGGCCAGTGCCAGCAGTCGTCGTTGGCCGTTCTCGTTTCCCTTGTCGTTGTTGTTGTGAATTTAACCGCTTCGGGACACACTCCTCGTTGTTGTTCAACAGCAATAACAACTTTTGGTTTGTTTCCTTACATTTTTAATTGGGTCCTTTGTGGTTGCCGGGTCCATGATGGGGATGGCTTTGGCTAACTAATTTCTATTGCTGCTTATTGGCTATGTTAACATGTTTCACCAACTTGTTTTTATGTAAAAGGGTTCGCCACAGTCCGCACGGCTGACGGCCTACTGGTTGAAGGTTTTATATGCATATTGGGACACGGACAGAACAAGGATAGTCATCGGAGCACCTTGTGGCTTAATAAAAATATATACGATATGCGGTTTGGTTTGATATTAAAACAAAGTGTTACTCACGGTCAGGTTATACAAGTATTATGACCATTTTTGTTGGCTTCAAATCTATTTGGACCAAGAATCAATTCAAGGTTTCAGTTGGAGAGATGAGGAGGTGCTATTGAAAAGGATATAGAGGTCAGCCGTACTACCTATTATCAGCAATTAAATGTTTTTCCCCTATGACTAAACATTTTTTCTCTCTCTTTAATCTTTGTTTAAGGTCTGTCCCAGGTAGGGACAATTATTAAATTTTATGATAACCTTGACAATTTTTAATCATGCTTCAGTCATGATGGAATGAATCGAACCGAGTGCCTACTCTAGAGTAGTTTGATTTAAAGACCTGACCAAGTCAGAAGTATTGAAACAGCTCTAGTAATAGGCGATATTTATAAGTGCGCTTACATTAAGCATTGATAAAAGATATATAAGATTATATTATATACCAGCGGCCCGGTACGTGCTTCGCTACGTATAAATTGAAGTAATAAACAAATTTAATTGGAACATCAAATTTACTTATTCAAACAAAAAAATATGTTTTTAATTGCTAGCTATTTAAAAACATAATCCAAAACATTTGGATTAAAAATATTTTTTGTTTTTCCATTTTGAGTACGAATAAACAAACTGCTGGTACCCCAGACTCTGGGGTACCGACTCTGTCCATGTGAAAAACATGATTCATCCAAATTCACACCACAATCCCTATCTGAAAAAAGTTTCAATTTTACAGCAAAATCCCCATTAACAAAATGATCCGCCATTTATTGAATTCATTTGTTACAACAAATATGATAAATGAAGAACCGCTCGACGATTTTGTGCAAACTTCTCATAAACCATATACTAAATAGTCCAAACAAAGCCTAAACATTTTTTTGACCAGTTGAATCGGACTAAATTTTGTTGTCCGTCTGTCTAAATGAATGGATATCGGAAATAGTTGAGCCCGTTTGAAGAAACGGGCAACACAGGTTTATTTTAATATTTGGCTAGGAAATCCCTTTTGGAAAAGAAATGCAGTTCAACGCCTGAATTGAAATTGTTTGAACGGCACAAAACAACTATTAATTGGTATTTGTTATAAATATATCGAAAAGCGAAGTGGATCAATTCCCCTTTATTGCAGTACACATACGAATCCGTACTGTTTATAGTACAGAGTTCTGAAAAACTGTCAAGCCATATTCCTATCATTCAATCTGAGTAGTTCAACAATAGCTTCGCACTGTAAATAATGAAGAGAATTGGTTACACACACATACTTGTACATTGTTTTGGGAATTAGTGTTTCACATGAGCTTCTGACTTGGCATTGAAGACATTCCAACGGTTCAAGAGCCTGCCTCGTGAAACTTAAGCCATAAACAATCTATCAATTATAGAATGTCCAAATATCTATGACATGCAATCAAAAATATTGTTTTCGTTGCGATTCGATTTGGTTGATTAATGATATCTCAAACATTTCAATGCAATTGCAGCTGTCTACGGCTTTCAAACGTCAAGAAAACAATTCTAGACTTAGCTTTTGGGTGTAAACTGGCGCTGGCGAATATACGTTTCTGACTCAGACATCATCGAAATGAGCACATCAATATTTGTATACGTTATATAGTATATTTATTTGAACATTGGCTAAATAAAATCTGCTCATCGCTCCTCACTGATCGACCGATCGCTCGGCAATTAATCAACACATTCAGGCTAGCAATGGCGCTGAGAGAGAACACAAAATGCAAAATCATGGAGCTAATTACAAACGAACAAACTATCGTAACGAATTTAATTGATCAGCTTTTGGGTTTCTTTGTGGGTTTCGAGATTCGACTGCCGTGTTTGAACGGCAGGAGGGGCTGAGCTGATTTCCACGGTCCCCTAGACGGGGCTGTGTGCGCCACTGTTACCTCTCAGCTAATTTCCATTCGTATCGCAGGCGTCTTCTAATCGACTGGACTGAAAATTTGTTCCCGCAATGATTTTACAATTTCTATGTGATTAATAATTTCTCTTATGTTACTTGGCGAAAAAAAAACACAACAAAAACCAAAACTGTCCGTCAAATTTTTGTTGGGATCCGATCAGTTACTAATTGGATTGTAATAGACAAAGATCGTTGGCGCCAGCTCGGAGTTGTTAGCTCATCTTTTTCACGAATGAATTTGTTAACAATTTGACTCACTACTGTTCTCCACTCTCATTCCACCTATGCTAACAAAAGACTTGCTGACTGATATTGAAACGGGTTCAAAAACAAATTTGACGACGACCTCATACGTACTTTTCTTTTGTAAACGTCCACAGAAAATTGGTGGCGAATTCAAATAGTTGAACTAAAATAAACGTAATGCTACCAATTATGGGTGTTTTCTTTATAATTAATATGCTTTAAGTATAACATAGTCATTAATTAAATAAATGTGTAGCAAAAATCGTAAGTTAAAAGAACATAACATTATTGGTAACACACTCAAGGTATTACTTAAGAAAGCTTAAAGTAGTGACGAAATTAGCACACAGGACTTTAGAAAATAAAAGCCATTCAAACGCAAAATCAAAAAAACCGGACAAAAGGGTGCAGAATTCGCAAATTGTGAATGATGTGTGCGACCTTATTATAAATTTCTAACTTTCGCCTCAAACGTTGGACTTGCATTCAAATCTCTCCAACCGTTCGATCGACAAACAAGCCAATAAATTTTATTATGTACCCTTAATGTGTAAATGAAAGTATTCCTATTTTAACGGAAATCGTTTCTTAAAAAATAGATCTTAACACTTTTTTGTATCCAAATCTATCATATCAGAATAGTGTGTACTAAATTTATATTTTTTTAGGATTGCAAAAATACTATAGGTACTGTTAGTTAGTTCTCCTGAATTAAATAATTTTCTTCTGAAAATCTACCAAAAATACAAGATCACAAGCATTTAAAGATAGAATAGAAGTACATAATTTCAATTAATAAATGTTAAGTATTTGAGAGTTAAATAATCGACAATCGATTGTTTTCATGAAATACACGATTTTCTAAACCAATCAAGCTATGAAGATTTTGTTTTGGCCAATCAACAGGCCGACTGACAACTACATCATTATTGAATCCGCTCCACTTCGATGACGATGTAAGGATGGCGCTAGGCTGGAGGAACCTCCAAGGAAGCAGACCTAAGACGACAACCTGGCGGCGGACCACCCTTCAGGAATTATCCCAGAACAATATCACGTGGGATACAGCTAGACGGCGGCTAAAAATCGAGTTAGATGGAAAGTTCTTGTAGAAGCCCTAAGCTCCCAAGTGGAGTAAAAAGGAATAAAAAAAGGACAAAAATATGTGATTTTCTCATTTCTACAGAATATGCACATAAATACAGGGATATATAAAGCCGCTATGCTTTATTTCTGGTTTTGTCTACTTATCCAACTTGCATGAGATGCGATCTATTAAAGGCTTGTCGCTTGTACCGGAAATTGGCACGTGCCCGAAAGAGATTTCGATGCGAGTATTATAGGCTGCAGCTTCTTGTTATCTTGTTATTGGATAACACAAGTCCGGAAACATGAAATACGTGAGAAATTCAACTTTAGCCGAGAGGTTGGAGTGTGTAGCATATCAACATTTTGATATACGCACTTTTACACTCAAATACATGCGACTACTATATATGCGCATATGTGTGCACAAATAGGCACTTAAAGTCTTTTTGTCGGTGTTTTCAGTGAGTTTTACAGAATTTGATGTGCAGTTGACAAGTTGACTTTGACGCATTTCCACTGCTGTGGATGCCGGCAGGCGCTATGGTCTAACATCTTACATGTATTTTCTATATATGCGTGTGTGTGAGAGCGGACTATAGTTCTCGCCATCGTTTTGGATGATTTATGCAGTGACGTATACCTTCCTAATTCCGAAATGTTTGATTGACAGCTCTGAGTGGTTGACAGTTGTTTGACAATTCAGCCCAATGGTAATTGTCGCGTCTGCAGCTTGACGCACTCGCTTAGAAACGATTTTCTCGTAACGCTTGACAAATTTTCAACATGTTGTCGCCCTTTATTGCCTAGGCATGTGTGTCCATGTGTCTGTGTTTGCCTGTATTCCGATTCATGGAATAAAGATTCAAAAGTGTGCAGCATTGAGGAACATCAATGACAGAGTAGTAGAAATGTAGTAGTATTTCATGAGATAAAATCTTCCTTTTTTGATCTGCATTCAAAAAGGTAAATGCCGACTTGTGTAGAATATGCTCTATAAAGAGTCTGGCCTAGAAAAGACGTATGCTCGAAAGTCTAAGCAGTAGCAGTCAAAGTATATTTTTATCTATTTTTATAACCTGTACAAGAAGAGTAAAGGGGTCCTATAAAGTCATGTAGTTTTTGCAACAACAAAAAGGAGGAGTACCAGACCCCATAAAGTATATATCGTGTATTCTTAATGATCGGACGAGTGTTTCTAAACTTGTCCGTCATCCATATGCTTAAAGAGGATTCTGCTAAATTCATGTAGTTCTTGGAATAGTAATTAATTTAATAAAGATTAATATTGTATTTGTATTAGCCTCGATTTTAAGGAATTCACAGCTGGAAATGTAATGTTTAGGAACTTTCTGCAAGCCACATATATGTACATCTATACTAATATTATAAAGAGGAAAGATTTGATTGTTAGTTTGAATTGAATCGAATCTACTGGAATCGAATCTACTGCACCGATTTAATGGATTGCTTCACTGTTGCACACTATCGACAGTGAACATGGGCTATATTATATTTGCAAAAAAGAATGTAATCCTTATTAAAACGCCGATAATGTAACCAAAGGTGTAAAAAAATTACGTTAAAAAACTCCTGATAGCATACTGTTAATTCATAATCATCCTCGAAACATTGTCACTTTAAATATTAAGGCAATATTATTCAAAAGCCCCCAGCCAAATAAAAGATTACAAATCGATCGACACCGTGATTAATATTCAAGATACTTAAATTCACTAAACCCTTCTGGACTGCCGCCACATGAATTGACGGTAAAATTCGTAATTGCAAAGGAAATGTAGGACAATTTAATTAAACAACTATTATCAACGGCTCAGCAACTGGTCAACTAGCTCAAATAACGAGGATACCGAGGATACCGATGATCCCATTTGATAATTTTTATGGCTTCACTTTTCGTGAGTCCGAAGGCCAAGCCTTCGAATTAGTAGGGATCGACATACGAAAGCAATGTTTTACGGTATGTTGACCTATCACGGGTCGGAGCTCCTGAAAATCAATGGACCCTCTAGTGGTTCCCGGAGATTTAAGTGTTGTGTGATTGTTATTATAGCAATAATACATATAAGTTTTTCGGTGAAGTAAACATTTTGTAATGTTTAAAACAATATGGAAAATTTTCCATTCCATTCCATTTTACCTGAGAATGGATGCACAATATATATACAATATACAATTAATAATAAACGGAAATTTGAATAATAACGTGAATAAATGTCATTTAAAGTAAATTCCAATGCGAAATGTCGTGTTACTTCAAACACAATTCTAAGATAGCATTTTCCTGATCCTCCTCATCTTTAGTTGAAAGCCGCCATCCTCCCAACCACAAACAAAACTGAGAATTTGATGTTCACTCGTTTGTTTTTTGCTTGTTTTGCTGCTACTGTTGTCGTTAAACTTATGTTAACGTTGTTCTTTAATAATAAACACTACGAGTGCAGAAACCACAATCGCCGAGAGTCTTCGGCGTCTTTGTACGTGGTGTTGCTGCAGCAAGTGAGTTACAACAATGAACAACATACATAACAACAAGGAAAACGAAGCAACAACAGCAACAACAACTAAATGCAAACATTCGAATTAGGCCAAAATTGGAGCGCACACCCAAACAGCCGGCCAAAGACCTAAAACGTTGTCATGGCTAGTTGAAGGAACAAAGTACATACATGTGTCCGTACACGAGCGTACACATGTCGAGTAGCTCGCCAAGCAGCGCAGGCAACACAAGTACCCGGCGACACTTTGGCGACCAGGCCCCCCTCTCCAAAGAAGCAGAGCAGAAGACGCTGCAGCAGTGTCCGCCATGTAATTTTGTGAGCACAACATTTTTATTGTCCGCTAATAAAATTAATGGATTTATTCAATTCGAAAGTGCTGGTGGCACTTCGTGACATGTGATGCTTGACACTCAGTGAGTTGGCCGGCCGACCAGGGCCCAGCAGTTCCACATGAGCACCGCCCAAGTCTGGGAGTAAGTATCCACCATGCTGTGGATGGATGCATGTGACAATAGACCGACGGCATAAAAACGTTTTTCCAGCTACATTTACAGAGGGTAGAGGGCTGATCGTTATCTGCCGTGTGATTTGTTGGGGGCACAGTGGGAGTGGATGAAATATATGTACATAAGTACATATGCGTTTTGTAATTGCTGCATTAATGCAAAGCGACTCACAAAACTATTTACGAATAAATCCAGAGCAATTCGCTAATTAATCATGACAAGGGCACGCGCAAAAACCTTTAAAATGCAAAATGCACAAAAAGTGGAGCATATTATGGAAAGCAAACATGAAAAGCTTCCCACCGGCACATTGGTACACACAGGAAATGGGAGAAAAACGTCAAGGGAAAGTTGCAGTTGGGCATCCATGCGAGACGACCACTCAAAGTGATGCACACCCGCATGTTAAAATGATGGGGTCAACCGGTTTTAATACTCAGAGCAAACTCACCTTCTCTGGCTTTTTCTTGGCTGGTGGCGAAATAATCTTGGCTTCTTCTTCAGATGCCATGCGATTGAACTTGCGAGTGGCCTCCTTTACGCTGATCACGGGATTGTCAACTGTGTCGCTTACTTTATCGGTGGCTGAGCTGTCAGTCGAAGTAGCAGATGCGCCGGACGAGAAGGAAAATCGCGGTATGTTTTCCTTATTATGGTTTTCCTTACTGTCATCTACAGAGTTGGCGCGCGACACACTCTGTGGACGCGTTTCCCCACCAGTGATGGTTTCAACAGCGGTTTCAGTAGGCACTTGGCGCTCAAGACGCGCTGGATCAATACGTTGCATGGCTGCTGCGAATTCATTTACACAATCGCGATAGTTATCCTTGTGTTCTGGCTGCACTGCAATCCCGGTGCTGACCGTTGGTGATTGCACCACAGGTGGTGGCTTGTATGGAGGTGGCTGACGAAAAGGCGAGCCAACGCCACCTTCCGAAATGATGGAGCCACCGCCCGGGCTGGAAGGCCCGGCGGCATTGGCTGCAGCTGCCACAGCACGCTCCACGGCCTCGTCCTCGGGGCATTCGTTAATATACTTTTTGCGCAAGATAAGAAACTTCTGATTGTTCTCGTTCCTAATCGACGCCAGCAACGTCACGTAGGTCTTAAACAGTTTGCGAGCCTCATCTGTAATTTTATTTAGTTTCCATTTAGTTTAGTAGCTGGCAAGCAACAGGTTGCTTTTTGAGCCAAGCTGATGACTCACTTTGTGTTTGCGGATCTGTGAGGAATGGCCTGAAATGTTTTACAAGTGCGTGGTTGGTGACTTTGCAATCTGCATTTTGCAGCATGTAATTTCTTATTTCCGCGACGGATAATTCCTTCGGCGGCTCCATTGCACACTCTACACACTTATTATGCACGAATATTAAACAAAAACAAATAAATTGCCGATTTGCGCAACACAAACTAAACAAAAACACGCACACCAGGGACGCCGATTGCTGCTCAACAGCTGGTTTGTCTCTGCGTTTCAACGACTGTTCTTTCATAAAGCGTGAGTGCGAGCGAGAACAAGTTTGTATCGCTGCCGCCCTGGTTGGCTCAAAGAAAAATGCTCAGTGCTATATAACGTGAAACGCGTGTAGCAAAGACAGCTGCAGCTGGAACGTACAAAAATACGTACATACATATGTATGTATGTATTTTGTATGAGTTTTATGAAGTAAATATTCAATGGTAGGTGAAAAATTTAATGAATGCCTTTGATATTCTTAGTTTTATTTTATTTGTGGCAAACACACACTCTTGATTGTTAGGGAATTTTTGTGCTAAAAAAGTGGGCTTAATTTTTATTAAAGTAGGGCCCATGAGCGCCGTTATTTTAAAAAACTGAATACACTCTTGTACATTTCATGTACAGAATATAAAAACTGAAATGAAATCCTAGAGTTGTGTACCCTCAACTCTTAATAAACCCCCCTGCTTAAAACAAGAATGGAATGCTAAACTCTTACAAACCGTGTAAAAAGAATTACAGGACCTATGAAAAATCACTAATAGAGGGCGGAGTGGGGAGGCAAAAACAACTTCATCTGCCTAGGGCTTAGGGAAATTCAGTTTAAAGGGAGTTTTTGAAGGCGACAATATCACTTTTGTGATGAACAAACTTGTATTTTGAATTATTCCGGGAACTTTTTGAACGAGTTACTATTTAGTAACTAACTCCTGTTCTATGCTTTTTAAGCCGTAAAAATAGCTAGAACAATATATTCTTGCTTTTGTATCGTCGAATAAACAATCGAAATTTGATTTGTTTATTTTTCGTCTTCAGATATAATAGCAAAGGGTGAAGGGTGCGATATCAACACTTTGATTTAGCATAAGTCGCACATGTCCAGACGGTATAATTATATCGATGGTATCTCAACAATAAGCAAAATTCTGATTATAGAACATTCTTTAGACCTTAAACTTGTGGGGTTTCACGACGTCGTAGAAGTCTTTCTTAAAATATATTTTCCCTACATGTTTGCTACCTATACTACTTATAGGGAAATGGTTTCAATTACATCTCCCGCGCATATATACGTAAATATACATTTATTATATTTATATTTAAATTTAAAAACCAATTTGAAATCTGTTTTTATGATATGTATGTAGATATGTTTAAAATGTAGATGAATATCGAAACTATACTTAAATCAGGAATAACTAATTAAATAGCCTCATTTAATGCATAATGAACGATTATACTTGTACATGTCAATTGATTCCACTATATTTATACCGCACAACCGCTAAAAGCCGACTTGGAATTTCTGGTCATTTTATATTTACATATGTGAAAACTCAAATTCGAATAAGGTAATACAAATATAAAAATTGAATAAATAGTTAGTATTTACAGAATATTTAAATCGGCTGCAAGAAGCTTAATACCAATGTTGAGAAAAATATTAAAATTTGGTACCAAACAAAGTAAATTTAACTATTCTTCTGTTGAAGTAAATGAAATGACATCGATAATATTCATATTTGAAGAATATATAATATATATAAATAGTTAAATAATATATAAATAGTTAAATATGGTTCTGATTGAAAATTTTGTGTTTTATATTTGATATAAATATACAAATTTTAGAACAATGAATAGATTTTGAAAATAATCATATCTGTATTCTCTGTAGTTTTTTCAGTATATAACCGGATATACTTACATACAATATCGACTCAACTCGTGATACTGGGATCAGCTACACTTCCTTGCTACTAAATCAGTAGACCATTTTACAAAAAGGCCAATAATCTCTTCTGTAATTCCAGAGTAAATGAAACTGGGGGATTTTATTAGTATAAATGTGGGAAAGGCTATTTTTTGTATTAAATTATATTTGTAATGGTATTAAAACATACTTCTAGTTTTGCAAATCTTGGTCCTTATCAATGACAGAATATATAATGTAGTTTAGAATTTTTTTATATTTGATACTCTACAATAATTTATGCCTTGTACTGAATCGATCTCTAGTCTTATTCGACATTTATCCCTGTAGGGAAAAGGTCCGCTTAGCTAAGGAAAAAATTGGACTATTTCAATGACAATGCTTTGTGGAATTAAAAATTTTTCATTACTCTGCTTGGCAGGAAAACTCGTATGTCTTTTTGTATCTGTCAGATGCGATGTTTGCTTGGGCTGCAATTGAAATATTATTTCACCAGAAGCGTTGAGAACAGCCGAAAAAGGGACTCATTTTGGAAGGCAGAAACGAGCGTATAATCAACAACAATTGCAGAAGCAACAACAGCAATGCGAAACAGTTTCATTTGACAAACATTTACAAATTGCACACATTTTAATCTTACCACAGTCAGATAGACAGAGACATTGCCTTACGGCTGGAAGCGTGAGTATCTACGAGTATGTTGCTTGCCGAAATGGTGGTCTATAAGTCGGATCAGGCAACTGGCGCGATGTGGTAGGCCTTGGTACTAGGCAGTTGGCAGCAGTCAGCAGGCAGGGGATGTGTTAATTTCATTTTCGATTTGCCAAATGCGATTGTGTTGGAAATTGTCGAAATGTCGTCATTTATCATCTGCACACTGGCTCCGGCTCTAAGTTCCTCACCGTCTCTGTCTCCGCCTCCGCCCCCGGCTTCTGGAAGGAAGCTATCGGCTGGCGCTCCAGCTCGTGCGAGTCTAGGCATGACGGGCTGGCTGCTGTCAATGTTGAGATTGTCTGCGGCAACGCCGATGTCGACAATAACAACGACGACAGGAGCGCATCTGGATACACAGATTGTGATTGTATCTTTCAGTTGCATTTCAAGATGCAAATGTCAAGATGTGCTGTTTCTGCCTGACACCCGTCCGATGCTCTTCCATCGCTTTAGGCAGGCGCAGTCGCATATGCAAATGAGTTATTGAATTTTGCAATTACACACTGCAGCATTTTATGTGAAGCATAAGTATATATATATACACACTATTGTACATGTATATATTAGTAATCCAAATGCAATGTCTCTGCAGGCAGTGCCTTCCTCTTCAGTTGAGGGATGGAATAGCGGTGTAACGAAAGCAAAAAGAAAATGGCGAACGGATTCGATTTGAGGGGGTTGTACGCAAAGATATTCCAGTTACTTATTAATGTTTTCCAAAGCAATTGCTTCTAAATTCATGTATATCTGGGCGATACGATTTTGGTGAATCGGTTCTATGAGAACCTGCGACTTTTTTTTGGGAAGCAATGCTAGCTTTCAGGATTTAAATTTGTGTGGTTTTGTATTAGGATTTACTCAAAATATCTCTGTGTTTTCCGTAACCAGGAGTTAATCCAGAGGGGGTCAGATTTTGTTGGCCGGTTTTTAACTATCAAATTATTTGCAGTAGACAAACACAAAGCAAAACACGTTTAAAATATAGGAAAAAAGGGTTAAAATTAAATTGTGAATTCAATAAAAATAAAAAAGCACTTGCTAAAAAATAAGACCATTTGTAATTATGAAATTTAACAATTCGAATTTTTGTTTCCTTACAAAATGATAGTTGATTGCTAAATTGAATTCGGATGTTTCTCAGTTTAATAGCATTTTTTTGCAAGTTCAAATGGAAAGGGATAGAAACAATGAATATTTCTGTTAACTAGAAAATAACCCGTTATATTGATACAATATATTGTCTTAGGTTTTAATTAAATCGGCGTTGAAACTGGGTGCCGCGAAAATGACTTCTGGATTAGTCCCGTGCGAATGCCATGTTTTTTTTTGCAATTATCTTGGAAACGAAAAGTTTCCCACAATCAACCTTAGAACCAATTATTGGGCTAACTAAGGGTTATACAAGTAAGTTAAGCCTATTAGCACAATAAAAAATCGTTTTCATGCCCATATATGTATATACATGTATGTGCATATAAATTCGGAACTTTACAAGTATATCTTCACAACAACCTAGCTGATCAATTAGGCGCAGCCATAAAATAGATAAGTCTTCAGTGATTTGTATACAATGCGGTACAAATTCAAAATTATCTGCAAAATTGTTGGAGTAAGATGTGGATTTAATTTAACACACACACTGATATTGCAGTTGCCACTTGTTCAACGCATCTTGTAAAATGCTGACAAGCAGAACGTCAACTGAATCCCAGCCGCGTCTTCGGGGAATGCAGCAAATCTGCAAAGATTCCTGGGGGCTACGCGCAGTCACTCCGACTGCCAAATTAATTTGCATGCTCGTCTGAGGCGCGCGAAATAAATTTCATGCTGACTCGTTAATGTGAAGGGTGTTCTGGTGCGACTTGTGTGGCAATTGCGCGACTAGTTGCCAGTCCTCCGGCAATCCAATATTCGCCCATTAAGCAGGAAATTATTAATTAAGTTTGCATGTTCGGGTTCGTTCAACCTGAAATGTTTCATTCAAATGATTGAAGACTTTATTTTAATCCACGCGATGAGTAATATGAGTGGAAATGTATTGCACTTTTTTTGAATCCAAAATAAGTACTTCTGAAAAATAAACTTAATTGCGACCACAATATTTTAGTACAGTTTTATTAAGTTAAGTAATAAACAAACAGAAGGTTTAAAAAATATAGCTTTCAAATACATCAATTGGTTTTAATACCTATGAATCAATAATAAAATAAAAATATTTCGAAAAAGAACAATTTTATGCATCGTTATATCAATGAGAATATTCAACGAGCTAGCAAGAATCCCAAAATATGATTTCGTTCCTGAGTCCATTTCGAATTACGCGGCAACCAACATGAAAGAAGCAGGATAAAAAAATTTCAAAGTTTCAAAATTGCAATTTCTTAAATAAAGATTAAATGTTTACAAAAAAATGTATTTAATTCAAAAACTTCAACGAGATCTGTGCTAAATCATAATATTTTACCACTGATCTGTTTCTTAAACTCTATTTTTCTAAATTTCTCTTTTCAAGCTAAATTCCAAATTCCATTATAATAAAGAAATAGAATGGCACAAAATTAAATT